AGAACCCAGGGAACACAGAATGAACACATTAATGCGTAGACTAACCACAGCAAAAGCATATAATGAGACCTAAAAGTCCGGTCTTTTCAGAATATTGAAAACATTTACTCTCTCTAATTTCCTTCAAAAAACACAAGAATTTTCACTTTGTATCAAGTCTATCGGAAAAAGTGATATTCATCTAGCTGTGCGGCGAATAAAAGCGTGAAAGTTTTCACAAATCTTCTATTACCAAGTTTGCGATAATGAAGGTAAAACCCACCTGTTTTCTGACTGCAAGGTTTAAAAATCCAGTATTTGCTAGCTCTAAGTTTTGTATCGCAAGATTCGAAAACAAAGCACTAGGTCGCTTACAATCCGTCTGTATTTCAAACTTTGAAGATTCAAACTTCTGAGACGATCATGGTACGACGGTAAAGATTGCGGATATCCTGAATCTGGTAAGCATCTGTAGAAAAGAATTCTAGTAAAAGTCTTTTGTATTTTCTCCAATTTTTCAATGCTTTTTTTTTGAGAAAAGGGCTCCATACAGTAGACGCATATTCCAGATGAGGTAATACGCAGCTCTTGTACAGTTTCAAAAAAAGTTCTGGATCTTTACTGTGTATGCCTCTAAAAATTGTAAAAAGGACTGATTTGACTTTTTCACTACTAAATCAAGATGAGAGGAAAAACTGAGTGAAGTGTCAAGCAATACTCCGAGGTCTCTTACAACACAGGAGCTCTCGAGAGCAACACCATCGCAGTTATAGGTAGCACAAGGGGAATCACCGAGATGCATGACAGTAGTCTTGGAGGCATTGACAGGAACTTGCCAAATTTTTGACCAAGCTACCATTTTTGCATTGACAACGAGAACGCTTCGAAAGCTTCTGTCTGCTGGTCCTCGGAGTAGCAAAAGTAAACCTTGATGTCAGCAGCAAACATCTGAACTTTGATCTCGGGGTGTGTCTTCAACCATGTTGGTAACTCGGCAACATACACCAAAAAAAGTAAGGGGGAGAGAATACCACCCTGTGGTACTCTACTGTCATAATGGTATCGATTGGAGTTACAAGGGCCTCTTTCCAGATTTTGGGCACTACCCCAGTGTAGAGAGAGAAAGTATAAATGTACGAGAGCGGAAAACTAAGTGGTACAGCACATTTTTGGTATACTATCTGTGGAATTCCATCATAAGTGGCTGTAACCATCGATTTGACTTTACTTAATATCTTGAAGACGCTTTCAACAATGGCTTGTACATCACCACAAGATTCAGGGATATATATAATCTCTTGAGCACCTCAATCAAAAGCTTCGTCAACATCATAATCAAACACTTTTGAAAAGAAAAGCCCCAAGGCATGTGCCTTCTCCTGATCATCCTTGAAAGTATTTCCCAGATCATCAAACAAAGTCGGTAATTTCATCCCGCCTTTGACCTTGGACTTGTAATAACAAAAAAAATTCTTTGCTTCCCCTCCTGGCTAGGAGATGCTCGTAATTAGACAGATATCTTTTCAGATGATAATTTGAGTCTAGACAGACTTTTCTGTAGCGATCCGTTTGTGGATTTGGGCAAGCGAAAAAAGTCTTGTTTTTGGTTGATCAAATTGCAAAGGTGGGCAGGATATCCAGAGGGTGGTTTTCGTTTGGATAACGGTACATACTGCGCAAAGATTTTACATAGAATCTGATTCTATATATTCTTATTATGATTCTTATAGTCCGAAGGCGTAAAAAACTAGTGTTAGAATGTTGCGAAATTCGTAGAGGAATAATACTTCGAATAGGCGTGTAGGTTGAACATTATTTTGAACCTGAGTAAACGATATGGAGGATCCCTTACAACAAAAGTACAAACCTCAAAAATACAACTAAAACAGCTTTGTGAGAACTCAATCCTACAGCAGAAACTGTGAAATTAATGATTGGTAATTCCCGACAAGTATTAGATTATCAGCTAATATACAGATATTTCCATGAGTTTTCTTTTTCTGGATTTAGATGAACACAGAAATATTAGGTTGTCCCGAAAGTTTTGTCCGTTTTTTTTCATCTCTCACTAGAACTCACAGAAACCAATCCATGGACGACTTAAGTACGATATAGTACATATTTTTATCTTTTTTCTTATAGCTGCATTTGCTCTCTGATCTACTCTGTCTTTGCGTTATAGCCACGGCTTTCTGAGCAGCTCAGAAGTAACGCCAAACTTTACTGAATTTTGAAAATTTTTATCCTGATGTTTTAAAAGGCGGTAATAATTTTTGTGTAGAGCAAGCCTTTGGCTACATTATACCCCTTTAGATTACATGGACCATGTTTACTAAGTTCGTTATAGCTATTTGTTCGATAAAAACTGTGGGTTTTTGATTACGTTTACCACGTAAAAGTACCGAAAATTCCAAAAAGCTGCTTTTCAAAGCAAATCAAACTTGGTCATGTAGCATAGATAATGTTTGATAAGACTCATATTTCAAATCGCAAAAGCTTCAAAAGCTTCCGTGTATATGCTGCAGTTGCGTGTTTCATGACTCAAAAACCAGGACTTCGAAGAAATAATGTTTTTGAAGCGAAAAACAGCAAATTAAGAGAATTCAAAAACATTACCTTGCAGTCCGAGAATTGCTCTAACTGATCCATACTTAGTCCTTCCCAAAACTTTGGAATAAGATTTCAAAAAAGTAGCCTAACTTTGAGCAGATAAAATTGACGGATGGAGAATTTTGGCAGTTATCAAAGATAGCATACAAGATTGTGGTGCGAAAATGTATTCTTAAAATAGGGAAGGAAAAGCTTCATCGAATGCATGTTGGAAATAATTCAGGTCTTTATTGTGCGTGGTTTTATAGTGGTTTGAAAAAACGGACAAAACTTTCGGGGCAACAGCAGATGTTCACTGATTTTATTTCTGTAAGCCTTCCTCGTGCTCCCTCAGTGCTAGTCTTAGAACTCCTTCATATTTCGAAACTCCAGATACCTGGATTTCGCCTTGTGTACCTATCCGTAAGTATTCCTAATATCCTTCACTATAACATGTTGAACAGGAGCGAGGAGCTGTACAAACCGCATTTTCCAGCTTTTGTATGATCCCTGATGATCCCCGGCGCTCTTTTTAAAGTCATTTTTCTTTCTCCGAAGTTAACGAAGAACTTCCAAAGTTGTGCAGTTTATCTAACCCACCAGTGCTAAGCATGTTGCTGATGAGAACAAATGAGTTTTTGAAAAGTCGAATTTTTCGGTAAACCTCAAATTTCGACCTGTGGATCATCGAAAATTTCATGACTGCAAAACATCATTTGTTCTTACCAGCGACATGCTTAGCATTGTTGTGTTAGATAATCTGCACAACTTTGGAGGTTTTTCGTTAACTTCGAAGAAAGAAAAATGACTTTAAAAAAGCGCCGGGGATCATCAGGGATCATACAAAAGCTGGAAAATGCGGTTTGTACAGCTCCTCGCTCCTGTTCAACATGTTATAGTGAAGAATATCAGGAATACTTACGGATAGGTACACAAGGTGAAATCCAGGTATCTGGAGTTTCGAAATATAAAGCTTTCTTTTAAGCTGCGATCCCCTCCCCGCGGGGATGTTAATGCATGCGGCTAAGTTACAAACCACTACCCAATCTAGAAAGTTTTCCATGTTAAATCTTTAGCTTTGGGAAAGAGTTGTGAGGAAAAATAAACGCGGACTTAAAACGATTACTAAGTAAGGGTTAGTAACCATCTTAGAAAACCATGAACACCTTGAACTACATGTTTGAGTGAAATTCTTCTGTTTCCTATTTAGAACCCTGACCAACGACAATAAGCCAGTCATCCTACCACTTGCTACACATATAATTATCAGCCACAAATCTGGATTAAATATAGGATCAGTTGTTTTTGCACATTACCGCAACAATGAAAAAACCAGCATTGTTTGAGGCACTAGATTATTCGAATTATTTGAATAGTCGAATATTAGACCATATCTACTTATTCAATTATTCGAATAGTCGAATGTTCGACCGACCCTATTTATTCGGATATTCGTTCATTCGAATTTTAAAATGGAGCATTATTCGAATATTCGAGCTCGAATAATCTGAAAATCACAGATCGAATAATATTCGTTCGTTCGAATATTTTTCAAAAGCCGATTATTCGAAATTCATTCGTTCTACGAAATTTTTCAGTCGTTTCAACAATATACTCCACTATACTGCTTTGTGATCGAGTGAATGGAGGAATCCTTATGTTGATACATCAGAACCAAACCATTTTGTTACATTGTTGAGCATGTCAGTCCGATTTCTTCTGCAAATTTTCGTTGGAACACTTGATCACAACAAAAAGTAATTGCGAAGCGAGTCCGCTAGTGTTGTTAAATGAAATATCCTGGCGAGTAAAATCGAATGTTAGACTTTGTGGAACTGCTGCGGGGCTTTGATAAGTCGTAAATGTGGCCATGCGTGATACAGGAAGGGGGGGGGGAGCACATGGAGGGGTGAGCACACAACACACATTTCAAAAACCTAAGCTGTGACTGCAATAAACATAACAGCAAGCACATCTACCAACAAATCCCCAATCTGTACTTGTTACATTCTTCCTGAAGCGGACGAAGCCGCGATCGACACCTTTTATGATGCGGTCTCAATCTCTCTCGTATGAGTGATTTAGCCTCGAACGTCAAGCAGTTCTAGAAGTTTTAGAAAAATTAAGATTGCGAATTATAAAGCTTTCATCCTATAAAGTTCCGTATCGTCCTTCGACCAAACTATATTCTTCAAGAAGTAAACGTTTAATGAGTCGGTAGTTGTAATGGCGAATGCTTACTGCAAACTTCTTTAAGTGTCACTCAGCATGGAAAAATCGAAAACAGCTTCAGTTTAAATATCATTTATTGCTTCGAGTATAACTATGACTCCCGTGTCATGCCGTGATATATGATGCTAATCTAATGAGAGATGAAAATATGGTAGAGATGAAAATATAATGGGCGAATTAAGTAAAGTACTGTCTTTCAGGTATGGGCAGGAGGTATAGAGATCATTTACATTCTGTTCGGAACTCTGGTTGACACTTGCGACCCTTGCAAAAAACGAGTGCAGCATGTTGCTGGTGGTTATAACAATGTGATACGTGTCAGAAAACTCTTGGTGAGCAGGATATTTAACTGATATTTGACTAAAGTTTGGCTTCTATTCGGACCTATTCAATGAGTAAACGAGTAGCCACACCTAAACTACATTAGAGGATATTTGCAGGACATCGACGCTACCATAATGGCAAAAGTCTCGAAGAAAATCTGCAATAAGTACCCAAGCACAAACATATTTCCAGGGCAATAATTTTTTTTCTTTTGTTTTGTTGTTCTTTAATTCAAAACTTTGAAATAAATATCGTTTAAGGATTGCATATACTATAATTGTACTTACGTAAGAAGCTCTGTCTCATGCACAAGCTCTCATTTTCTCGAAAAAGGAAGTCCCACATAAATTCGAACAGATACTGACTCTATTTGTAACGGTTTTTAAAACATCGTTACAGACTGTACTTTCCATATTTCTTCTCTTGAGTAGTTTTGTTGCCGATGCCTAGCTCCACACTTACATGCATTCCTTACGTTAATTTGATCCTTATTTTTGACCGCATACTAAAAAAAAATACCCCCCCCCCTCTCAAGGCTATTAACTTCTCAACATTTTCAACTCTAATAGCTGCACTATGCCTAGTTTGGCATCATGTCATCCCTATATATAGCAAAAGAATGTTATCTTGTGTTGAAGTAACTGTCGTCAAACGACTTCGATCTCTTGGGTACTGCCTAGGGCGCATTGAGAAACGAAAATTGCAGCAATCTAATCAGTCTTTTCACAATTCAAGAAAAAGTTGCCTGTTAGATAGAAAATAAAACTCTGCATCGAATGGCATTTGATTGCAGTTTAAGGTTCTATGTTTTGAGGTGACAATATTCGTAACTTTGTATGAAAAATGAAGTTAAATTTTGGACAGGTGTAAACGCCAAAAATGCATTGCATCGCAACTTGCCATTTTCACTTGAGATAATAGCGCTTGCCTGCGCGTACCAGATAAACAAATGTGTTTGTTGAAATTTTACAGTCTTGCTGGTATCAAAAAATATCTGTTCTCTGATTTTGAAAGCCAATCTACTACACTTTTCTAATAAGGAGAAACTTGTCATTAAACTTTGTACAGGGCCGAGAAAGGATGGTAACCATGCTTACGAAAAACTCTTTTTTAGTAGGCCAAAATTTTAGGCTTTCAGCGTCAGCTGCGCTACAGTTTCTTTGCTATAAATTTTCGAGTTCGAAACTGACAGCAAGATATAAGCAGTTTGAAATCAAACCTCTGCCAAGCAGTACGCTAAAGGGTAGATCAGAATTGAAATTGGTAAATTGTATATAAACTCGAAATTAGCTTCAAGGGGCACAACGCTAAAGGATATTCGTCGACGGCTGCCCCGTTTAGTGCATTTACACCACCGCAGGCGTGCCTCGTTGGGGCCTTTCCAGCTTGACAGTACGCTGCAGCGCGACTTCATATCTTGCAGTAACACTGTCCTTTAGCCTCTTTTATTGATTTAAGTATTTCGCATCGTTTTTTCTTCTTATTTTTCATTTCAGGCAATCAACCGTTCTATGTCTACGTGAGACCATCGTCGCGAGCAAAATAGAAAAAAGAATGACCTTATTTGTAGTTGCAGTGGTGGATGTCACAGCTATGATTGGGATTGCATATTTTCTTCAATGTTTTTCAACGATTTGATATGTTTCCTGGGACATACCACTGAACTGATTACTTCAACACTCCTACATCAGGGCCGGTAGTAATCTACCCTACCTGGTGGCATCAAAGATGCCGGCAAGTTGGCACACATCGCGGAAAGATGCCAACTCCGCCGGCAGCTCGCGGAGTGATTGTACGCTATAATAATCTTATGTAACCTTAGCACACAATCACTTCGCACATTAAATTTTGATGACGCAGACAGCCGCAAAATTGCTACCTCGCGCGCGGTCGAACCTATGTGCGTTAACTTGATGTGCCACCACGTTAACCACTCGACCATTCGGTCAGACATTGCCAATGGCACCAGCAATAGGAGGAACGCGCTGATTAATGGCCTGTAAGAGGGATCGATACACTGCGTGAGAGACTTTGACCTGGAAGAACAGCTGATTGATATGAGCGAAAGAGGGGCGAAATCAGTGCAAACGAGATTTATAAGGGATTGCCAAAAAAGATGATGTTCTTTATGATTCTAAAGCATTAGTGGATTTTTTCTCTGTAAGAAAATCGTCATTTTAAAAAAGAAAAACTCGTATAATGAGAAAAATGATAGTTTTTTTGGAAAAGTAGAATTTTTGATTTTTTCGCCTGACGTAAATTGTGTGATATCGCCGCAATTCGCAAACTCGCATACCCCGGCGGCAAAGGTGCCACCACCTCGACGTGGTAGGGGCACGTCGAGATGCCGGCAGGTCCCTCTCTCAAAAGAGCATGCTATTTCCCGTGCTCTCTGACCTGCCGGCAGCTGCTATCTCGCGGATTCCGCCAAGTTGCCGGCAGGTTGCCGGCAACTGACATCGCGAAGTTGCCGGCAGCTCCTCCTGGGATTCCAGATATTTTACTAAAGGAGGAGTTCTGGAGCCGCAGATTTTTATGAAGTTTTCTACAGAGTCGAGGCGGCAACTTTATCGAGAAAATTTTTTGATAAAAGGCCTGGGACGGCCTAAATTTCGGTTCTTAGTTTCTGGCCACCTCGCGGAAAGGTGCCAGCAACCTGCCGACGAGACCCGCCGCCAGGTCGGGGGGATTACTACCGGCCCAGGGACACCATGTAGGAGTGTTGAAATAAACGTTAAAGTGGCCTCATCTAAGGAAACTCCATGATACCACCACTGTTTATGGACAAAGCACACCCTTTCGCCCAACTTTACTCGAGGAGATGTTCACGTTTTGAAAAAGAATGTTTGGTGGGTGAAAAGGGAGAGGAATTCAAGAAATGTGTTCTAAACAAATTTTTTCCTTACCTCTCAGTATTCATCAAAGTAGAACGTAGGACATTTGAACATCGAGAGAACCTAAGAGAAAGGGAAAGCGAATGACTGACTGAAATACGTAAACCAGGGCCCGGCACGAGGTGGAAAAACGGGGTTTTCCAAAACGAATTCCCCTTTGATCCCAATAAATTTTACAAATACCCCCTTGAGCCCAAAAATGACATTTTGTGCTTGTGCGACGAGATTACCGGCCACACTTCGCCTAAAGCGCTCAAAAGCGCCCAAATTGCTCAAATTCCTCAAATTACTCCTCAGCTGTATCAGGATAGGAACCAGGAAGAAAAATAAGCAAGAAAAATGATTAAGGAATGAGAAAATATCAAAGAAACGCATAGGAATGAGAGACGCCGTTCCCGCGCGTATCGATTGACTGTGGCGCGCTTTCCATCTTAGAAAGCTACGCTGCTGATGCGATTTTGGGCTCTAACAAGGACAAGAGGAGGAGCTTCGGAACCAAAATTTCACCATGTAGTAAACTTTAGGTGTACAACAGATTTATGTAAAAATTTTGAAAAAATTATGTGAATTGAGAGTTTTGCCGACCTCAGGTGGGAATTAGGTCGGCAAATGCCGACCTAATTTGGAAATTAGTTGAGCACGCTTTTCATTCACATAAGTTTTTCATAATATTTCACACTTTATTACTTAGTCCTATTGCGCATATGCACACCGAATCCCGCGCGATTTCGTTACCTCTGCGTTGCAAACGAGCCATTTTTCCATTTCGTTGGTAGCGCAAAATTTTCAGATAAAAGTTTGCCACAACCTTCAGTCACAAAATTTTTCAATGAAACTCCTCAGTTAAGCCCTGCAAGCCCGTGTGCATTTACTTACCAAGTTTCATACCATATCGTTCATCTGCGCGTTTAAACGAGCCGTTTGAATTCACATCTTCATTTACCGGTTTTGCGAAATTCTCGGAAAAAATGCTAATTACTCGTTCCGTTCACATAAGTTTTTCATAATTTTTCATACTATGTTTCCACTAGCCTCTCTCCGTTCGCATACAAAATTTGGTGTCATATCGTTACACATACATTGAGAACTAGTCATGTATGCTGTTACAAATAGCATCGCTTGGGCGACGTCGCGCGTGCGGCAATTAGCGACGGCGCGGTTTGACGCGCGCGAACTCCAGTGTTCGCCTGTTGAGGCACATAACATGTCAAGATAAGTAGCGAGCATGAACTACCAATTTTTTCCGGGGCTCCGCCCCGGACCCGGCAAAAACGATTTCCCCTTTGCTTTTTGGCCCCAAAACGATTTCCAGCTTGTCATTTGCCGACCTCGTGCCGGGCCCTGACGTAAACTAAGAAGAAAAAACGATGTGAAATACTTAAATCAACAAAAGAGGCTAAAGGACAGTGTTGCTGCGAGCTACGAAGTCCCGGCGCGCTGCAGCGTACTGTCAAGCTGGAAAGGCTCCAAAGAGGCACGCCTGCGGTGGTGTAAATGCACTAAACGGGGCAGTCGTCGACGAATATCCTTTAGCTTGCCATTCGTTCTTCATTCGCAAGTGTTTCACAGAATTTGTAGCTTTGCTTTAGTCGCCATGGTGAGTATACACAACGAATGGGCCAATTTTTACCTGCAAATTGCAAATGAGTCTTTTTTTACCATTATTAGGAAAAATTGCTAAAAAGCATACCGCACGCTTCACCCCTCTACAAATTTACAAAGTCAGTAAAGTTATTTGTTTTCGACCTAAAAAAACTTGATTTTATACAGCAATTTGAAAACCTCGTCGCTCCAATACGATACTGTGATAGCTTATTTGTCATGTAGGTGGGGACGTTAGTTGAGGGTCGTCTTTTGACAACACATCCTTTTTGCCTTTCGTCGATTTACTCTATTGACATTTTGCTAGTTTCATGCCGGGCCCTGTTCGTGCAAGTAAAAATAGAATTTATTGTTATTTTAACTAATTTGCTGTTCTACGAATTATAAGAAAGATAGTTTTTTTAATTAGTTACTCCGTTTCGTCCCTTTCCTTAGACGGAGTTTTAAGATCTAGACCCTCTCCGGGACTCTTCAGTAAGGAGAGAGGGTCTAGTTTCATTTTCCAAAGAAATTATTTTGAAAAAAAAAATTGTAAAACTCAACTTATAATCCAATTGTCGTCCGATTCTTCTTTTCTGTCGTGTGATCTTCTGTGTTGCAAAATAAGAATGGACTTGTCTTGACTTGTTTATTTTCATTGTATTATCATTTGTGTTGAATATATCATTTATACTTCGTTTCATATATATTGGTTGATATATCGG